AGAGTAAAGCCTTGCACTACCAAACCATTTGCTGATGATTAAAACAATGACAATATATATCGACTATGATGTGACAAACACTTAAAATTCAAAATTTGGAACAAAGTTCAATATTCCAATTGATTTTCGCTTAATATCGTTTGGTTTTGATAGCCTTCTAAGCACAAACTAATGAATAGGAAGGAGGAGGTGGGATTATTAGCCGCCATATCCTTGAAAAAACAAGCATGGAGATTTGCCGTCACATCATCTCAAAATAGAATTCTCAAACATTCAAATTTCAATCGAAATATAGACTCCCCTGCTGAACTTAATGAAAATCATTACCCAACTAATGTCTTTGACACAGAGACACTAAAGATAGAGAGTGAGAGAGCGCGTTACTAGACAAAGATAAATAAAACATCGGACATTTAATATCAATAGAAATGGCAATGTGAGTTCAACTTTCAGGTGCAACACAAATTACTGGCCAATGGTAAATTTTCGAGTTCCATTTTGACATCTTGGTAGCTAAAATGATCGATTCCATGACTCTTAAGGTAAATGAGAAGGAAAGCTACATATCTCCTCTTGATACAAAAGGACCATGTTAGTACACTGGGTTGTGGGTACTCAGTACTTGGGAGGCGGATGTTGGGTAGGAAGTAAACCAAATCGCTTCTTTAGGAGAACTCTTTGCCTCGAGTATTTGTCATCAGGGGAGAATCGAGCTGCAATTGAGGAAAGAGAGAACATTAAAAAGACGTAGTAAATTATCTTATTAGATCATCATTGATAGTTTAACAAGCTAACGGAAAACAATAACACCATAATTTCCAATTATACCAGTGCACCTGAGAAAGTTTTACGGTTATTTTATTACTTTTTTGTTATTGAAAAGATGAAAAATCAATGTGAAAGTCAGAAAGATAGGTTTTAAAAGTTCTTATTTTCCAGTGAGCTTAGCTTGCTCGTTAGATATGACTTCCAATACTTATCAATTTAATGGCTCCTTAAAAGACAAAAGACTAAATAGAAATTTGGTTAGAAACAAAGTCTTTACTCAAAGATGAATCCCTAATACCGTAACATGTCACGTGGTACATAAATACATTGATAGTAGTAGAAAAAGTTTCAAATGAATAGTGGAGAACAAAGTCTAACTCTTCAGAGAAACTTTTGGGGATACACCATCAGCATAACGAACTGATAAAAATGCACTTTAAGACGAGAGATGCCTTCTTATCCTTCATTGTAATCAGATTAAAGTTTTAATAGCAATGCTTGCAAGGATAACGCAACACGCCAGTGTCTATCATTTAGTCAAAACATTTTGTCACTGTCATTCTGTCAAGCTTGAAAATATAGATTTTAGAGCCATACACATGCAATTAAAGGGCAAGTCTTAGTACAGTACAGCTAAGATATAGACCGATAATGATTCAGTCATTCAGATAAAATACCAGGATGAGCAGATTCTGTGGCCAACCCTAATGGTGATTCCTTCTGCATGCAGAAAAGCGAATGTTAAACAAACGCAATAGAAAATTTTTCTCTTCTTTTCAGTGAAGAAAAATGACAAGATGGTTAATCAGCAAAGAGGGTATGAAAAAGAAGAAACGTAAAATAGGCCTAGCAAATGAAAATGCATACAGAAATCCTTCTGAATAAGATTTGCCCCATATTATACACTAAATGTCATTCAGTAACTACAACAAGAAAAGTCAATTAAAATCAATTCAACTCTCAAACTTACTACTTATTGAAACTAGTAATGAGGATATTAAATATATATTTTTTCCAGGGCATTACGTGCAAATAAAACTGCCTGAAAAATAGTTATAGCAGTTTTAAGGATTAATATGTATATAAAGATGTAGAAGGTTGGGGGGGCGTGGGGGAAGCTAATTATATTCTTCCAGCATGATTCTCGTCCCAAACATTGGGATAATGACGAAGAAAATCAGAGCTTTGCATAAAAAACTGCAAGAATCGGGTCAATGAAGAGGCAGACCTTGGTGGTGTAAACTTTATCCCCATTTTCGTTGATGTAAAATTGGAGATACATCCTTACTGATACTCCTCCTGCAGCATGGTAAAAACAATCTTCAAATAAAGTATAGAGGAAAACTTAATAATCCAAATGAATAAAAAAACGCAAAGCCATGCCTTCAATACACAAACATCATTGATTTAGTTCACCTTTAACCCTAAAAACCTAATCGGAAAACTCCAATAGGATTGTGAATGTGATGTTTTCCAAGAGAATAGAAATTAAAGAACATGGATACTTTACCGGGGGATCTGCGGCTTGAGTTCTGAACTCTACGGTGGAGGATGAAAAACGGAAGGCCTTGTTGTTTCTAATTAGGGCTTTTTATGAATACCCCAACTACGCTAAGTCCGGTAACTTATAAATGATAGGGGTAAATATGTCCCTGTAGTGTTTACACACGAGGCACCAGAATAGGTTCGGGTATAATTACATTCA